TTGTGAGCCTGGTAACCCTGGTATCAGATTCCATAGCTCCGGCTATTCTCATCAATAAAGGTTGGCCGCTTCAATGGGATTTTTTAAATATTTTTTTTTTGTTTTATTAATGTAACGTTAAGATTCATTATCTTTTATTACTATTATGATTACAAAGTTCATAAGTGGTTCAAAATACGTTAGTTTCTAGCTTTCCAATCAAATGAAAGGACTAATTTATATTTATGTACATGTTTAAATATTCTTGTTCCTCGATTTCTATATCTATATCCATCTTCAAATACATAAGTATTTTAATAATAATGATTTATTAGTAAAATGGTAGAACTTAGTTTTAATCAGATATTCATATTTTTTTGTCATTTCATTTACTAATATAAAAGCGATTTAAATATTAGATCAATTCTTCTTTATAATGAGCAACATGTTCCTAACAGTTACTTAAGGAATAGTTCCACTTACAAAAATTTTTATGCTGCTATTTTCTGCTATTGTCTGCTATTTTTTGCTATTTTCTGCTATTTGCAATCATAGATAGAAGTGTAAAAATTAAGATTCTTTTTAACGTGAGCATTTAACGCTTCACATTATTTATGCAACATGTTTACGATGAATTCCATATGCACACATAATTTTTTTTTGTAATTTTTTTTTGAATTTTTTTTTAATTTTTGCATATTTCAATCAACATAAAACATTTGCTGCTTTTATCATTAAAAATGCATTTGCATTTTGCCACTCGCAAATATCAAAATGAAACGCATTCATTAGTTTCTCCGATGTGGCAACAAAATAGTTGCAAGTACGTACATAGATTCAACTTAGAAATTTACAATTGCATCCTTTCTCTTCTACGGATTTTACTATCCTCTACACTTGTTTATATCGTTCCTTGCGTTTGCCGTTGTTGTCTTAACCGATTTTAATTTTATACTATAACTTTTCTTTCAAAATCATCGTTATCATGAGCATCAGTAACATGATCAGTCAGACTAACAGCTAAGCTGGCAATACCAACAACAATAACAATAACAAGTGTAATAGCAATGGCATAAGTAAGAGCAACATCAGCAGCAACAGCAAAAGCAACAACGGCAACATTACCAGTCAAAAACAACAACAACAACAGTAACAAGAATAACAACAGGAGCAGCGGCAGCAACAGCAACAGCAGCAGCAGTTACAAAAATATGTTCTGCAAAAGATATATTAAAATTTTACTTGCGGCAACTTGGCAACTTGGCAATCTGGCAAATGCATATTAACGTTATTAATATTGCCTGACACTCATCTAAGGCGAGTTGACGAGGCATTATCTTAACTCTTTTTTTCTTGATTTCCTTCTTTTAGATTTTATTTTTGTTGTTTTATATTACTTAATTTATTGTTGTGTTTTTTTTTTATTTTTGTTTTTGTTTTTGTTTTGTAGACGAAGATAATATATATCTTTTAATTCTAGCTCTGTTAATGTATACTAAGCAGCAAGACAACATCAGCAGCTATAACAGCAGCAACATTTTGCTTGCAAATTACTTATGTTGCCGCTGTTAAAAAAGCTGCAAAGAAATTCATTAACACACGCACTTCAGCAACAAATATGCGGGCATTTATATGGACAGACAAGCAGCAGCTGTAGATATCTATGCATTCATAATATTCATTCGAATATTAGGCATTTTTTTCAGTATTGCAGGAATGCTAAAATCACATTTTACTTGAAATGCTGATCTTTTGTTTTTAACTTCTATTATTTTGATTCATATATCAACTAATTGAATAAGCATTGTTGTGTTCTCTACACATTCTAAAGGGCCCCCACAAATGCCTTTACCAAATGCCTTTACCAAATGCTAGCAACATTTGTTAAACTCGCCATACCCGCCGCTAAAAGTAAGCAATACGACAGGAGAAGAACTCCAATTGGATTATTGTTAGTTTGTGCTTGTGTACTTGTGTGCTTGCTGGCCAACATTGTATACGTCTAATAATGTTATGTGTGTGAAAGCAAGCAACAAGTTGTAAGATCAACAGCAGCAACATTAGCATGTGAAGCTTTGTATGAGTTTCTGAGTGACAAGTTGGTTGACGCCTCAAAGTAATTTTTCATCTCGTTACTTCGACTCTATCAGTGTGGTGGCATTTTTCTTTTTTTTTGTTATTTTTATTGCACAAATTTTTTTTCTTCTCAACAATATTATTGTAATTATAAAATGATTTTTTTTTATTTTTTGGTGTTTCAAGCTTTTTTTCAATTTGCTGTTTACTGACTTTTTTATTGTAGTTTGTAGTATTGCTGGAAGGGCCTCCCTTTTCGAGTTTTCGTAGTGGCCTAATTGATTTTTTATTGTGTCTGTTGGCGGTGATTTATTTTCTCAGTTATTTTGATTTTTCTTTTTTTTAGTTTTTTTAGTACTCAATGCGTATTTCCATGCTTGATATGAGTCAAGTTTCGTTTGAATTTTTCGGGCTTAATGGACACACACATGCTTTGCTGTGATTAAGTGGCTCAAATCAATGGTTATAGTCCGGTCCGGTCATTTTTTAAACCACACTCAATTTTTTTATATATTTTTAACTATATTTTCGGCAACAATTAAGCAGTTGGTTTTTATGAGTAAAAAAAAAATAATAATAAAAATAATATTATTCTTAAAATTTTCTAACGAAAATAAATTTAGTTGTCTACAATAAATTAATTAAATATAACATAAAAACAAGTTGTATTAAAATACACAATAAATAGACTTAAGAAATTGACGTACTAACCCAACTTATTCATACCGCTCTATCTTTGTCAAAATAATTTAATGATTCTTGAAAACAGAAGGGATGCAACCTTAACAGATATATACGAGTATTGATTAAATAAAGTAATTGATTCCTTTCGTTTGTAAAACTAGCTACATAGAAAATTAGAATATTAACATCAACACGTTGGTACCGTGAAAGCTCTCTTAAGTGGACGCTTACGGGACCAGCAAATTTAGTTTGGTTCAAAGAACAGTCCATTTAAAAAGCATTCATTGTGCGAAAAATTTAACCCTATGATTAGCAATAATAAAAAAAGAGATTTAAAGAGATGTCCATTCATGAGAGCGCCCATATAAAAAAGCTTTACTTGTATTTTAAAAATTTCTTTGTAGAATTTATTGTTACTTATTGCTTGTTATAGAAAATATTTAATTTTAACAAACTTTCTAAAATTCTTAACACAACACAAAATCTAACCTTGGGTCAAGTGCGCTAAATATATATACCAACTCATACAACCACAGTATCTCAGAAGTAAAGCACACTGCGCTTCACGTTTATTTGATTTTCTAGAGCAGCCACATTATGTACACAATTATACATTATATATATCTATAGATATACATATATGTATATAAAATATTTATTTATTTTTATTAAGAACTTTAGCTTTGTCATAAATACAAAGAAGCTGTTAAAATTTTTAGTGCATTCAAGCCGGTTTAGTGCAACATTTTTCACAGACACAAACATGCATTCTGGTTAACATACTTAACAGAACCTTAAGTCAACTTACCACAATCCGTACGAGTTCATACGAAAAATCAAGTTCCACACAAAATTTAAGCACTCATCAATGAAAGCCGAATTATTACAGCAACAAATGATGCAGCAGCTCAGGTTTCATGAGGTGTAATTTTATGCGCTACATTAAGTGCCGCTCGCAAAACAGTTAAGTCTGTTGCATTTGTTAAAGAACATTGAATTTCAATAAAAAAAAAGAAAAAGCTTTAAAATATATATAAATATATGTATACATATATATTAATGTAAAAAAATAAATAAAATAATACATAATATACACTCCAGTATTTTAAAAAAATTTTTTGGAAATTTTTAGAAATTCACCACGATGTTTGTTTCGAGGAAAATGTTGCTAGTTCCCAAATTTTTTTTTTGTTTTTATTTGAAAACATTATTGTAGATAATTTTAAAGTAAATAACCAATATATGTTTAGCAAAACATTTTTTTAATAAGGATCATCAAATTAACCAAAAAACTTTGTGATGAAACATTAAAACCAATTTAGTAGTAAGTTTTCACAATTTGAACATGTGCAGCGGTTGTTAAACGATCTTTATTATAATATAACAAATCTTAAGCTGAACATACTATGTCTTAGACAACAGTTGTTTAAAGTATTTAACACATTCATATCACGCATAATTCAGACAAAGCAAAGAAATATTACTTTCATTAAAATAATTGAACTGGAATCGAACTAATCTCACGTCATCTGTGATATCTGTGTTAAAATTAAACTCTATATTAAAACTAAAAAATAAAAATTTCTAAAAAAATCAATCTGAACAGCTTTGCACTGGTCAATATTAAGAACACCACAACTATTCTTAGTCGAATTAGAATTGTACTTAGAAAAATTATTGATCTCTTAACTGAACACGCCTCTACTTACAACCAACCTACAGAGAAAAAATTGAAGAAATGAAGTATATTTAGAGTGAAAAACAACATTTATCCTTCCCTTGTGTATTCTGCTATCTATCTTATATTATCTTTAATTTACTACAAGAGAGAACACGAAAATTGAAAAAAAGATATTGTAAAATTTATAAATAGTCTTAACGGGATGTATGTTAAGATTAGAAAACTTTCTGCAAAAATAATTCAGTAGATCTCATAATAAAGGTTTATACGAACGATATATATCTATATATACCTTTCTCAAAACAAAAGTAAATCTTCTATATCAAATTTTCACATTTTAAACTCGTCGTATTTTATACAAAACTTATTAATTTAAAAACTTTATTATGAATATAATTATTACAAAATATAAAACTATTTCTCCAAAATAATCATTCCTCGATCTATAAAGAAAACAACACAAGTACATCAGATATTAATCTGTAAATATATTTTAATATAAAATTTTATTTCTATTTCTAATTGTACACATATTTTTTGTATATAAAATTATTAATTTTTGGCTTTTTTTCTTTCACAGGTCAAAGTCGTAGTACTCGATCGAAACGATTCTCCGCCAGTATTCCGTGACACCCCTTTATCTTTCAATGTTAGTGAAGACTTAGGCGCTGGTCATAATATTGCAACAATACGTGCTACCGATCCTGATACACTCGGTACATTGACGTACATCCTGGTAAGTGGAGATGATGGTAAATTTTTACTTGAACCCGAAACTGGTAAATTACGTTTGAAAGATGCCTTAGATCGTGAAACCAAAGATAAATATAAGCTGCAAATTCGCGTTAGTGATGGAGTACAATATACGGATACGATTGCAACTATTGAGGTGAGTAGTTGTGGATGGATTTTATTTAATTATTATTAAATTATATGTATACGATATATCTTTTACTTAAATGCAAAATATAAATATAATTCAAATGGAAACCAATTAGTTTTAGTAAAGTCTTTAGTAGGCAAATTACGTCCGTTAATGAAATCGCAACTGGCTCTTGGCCTTTGTGAGTCCCAATAACTTTTTTGATGAGATTATTAAAATAATATTATTATATATTATTTAGAATATTATTATATTATTGGTAAAATATATAATATATTATTAAATTCTTTAATATTAGATTAGAATATTAATTAATATATTAATGTATTTATTATATAAAGAATATATTATTATGTATATATCTTAATAATTTAAGATATATTTTAAATACTGAAAATTTGAGTATTTTTTTTTTATTTTGGTATGCTTGGTATGAGACTCAAAAAAATGAATTTGATTAAATAATAAAAAACTTATATGTGCTTGTTGTATTTGAAAGAGAGATTTAAGGAACTCTGTACGTTTTGTCAACTATTGACGTTTGATATTTTATAAAATTATGTAAAAACATCGGAGACGTCATTTGTTTCACTTCCTTGGAAAAAAATGTCATGACAAATGGTGGAACAAAATAGAAAATTGTAAACAGTCTACCCAAATGACGTAGGCCGTATTCCAAGATATTGAAAATATGACACCCGAGCAAAATCAACACCAATACTTAAGTTAAAATATTAAATACTTCTATTTAGTTTTTAAAACAAGACGAGTTATTGTAGAAATCAACACAAGGTCACAATACACCATAAACATATGTTTGTCTCCATGTCTAATAATGGAGTACTAGGAGAGTTTATAATCCAGAACAATAGAGAGATATCAAGCAACAAAACCCCACTACGGGCTAATGTTCCTTGTAGGAATAATATATAAATCTCTATAATAAGTTAAAAAAACTGAAATATTTTACAGTTGGTCATACCTTATGTAGGTCTTATGATACTGATACGCTTATTTGTTGGGTTGAAATCCCTAAAGTGTACGACTTTATGAAAAATCTCAAGGAACGTGGAGGAGCATAGTTCTTCTCTAATTAATTAATACTCTATAGCAATTCAAATTGGATGTCTTTTATCAATGCCTTAAGTTCCTAAGAAGAAGCCATTGCTCTGTAAATCATATTATTTAAAAGAAGCAATCAAGTGGTTATCAATTGACTTACTAAAATTAATAAAATTATATTAAAAACTTAAAATAAAATTACAATGAAAAAGTAAAAGCATTCGTGATGTAAAATATAATCAATTTTGAGATTCTGCATAAAATGTGTGTAAGGTTAAAGTTTGTGACACATAAGTGATACATCACAAGCATCTACTGCCAGTTGTGTTATATAAAAATAATTTTTATATTTTTTTCATTTTTGTTTTTAGAAGCTAAAAATATACTCAATTTTATAATTTTGAACTTGAAGTTTTTTACTTGCAAGTTTAAAAAAATTTTTTTTTTCGTATAACCGCCAGTTTTTTATTCACACTAGTCCCGGTGTAGGTTGTTATATCTCAATTTTTTTTACATATATTTTTGTTAAATTTTTTCTTGTACTTCATATTTTATTTTTGGTAATTTGATGCTTTGCAACGTGTTAAATAAAAACGCCTCAATGATTACCTCAATTCGATTCCCTTTTATTTAATTTTTATACTCCAACATCACAGACATTCACATTCATTATATGTTGCCTGTACTTACCCTACAGTTAAATGCAAGAACTATTAAGTTCGTCAGATCTTAAGAGTAAAATTCAATTTAAAATTATTTTTCAGCTAGATTAGGTCATTTCATTCCCATCCTTAAAAATTTAAATGCTTTTGTAGTCCTTTCAAGTATAAAATTGTACTCATTTTTAAATAAAAAAATCATAAACAATGTTAAAATATTTATGTTTTTATATTTAAATTTTTAACAATATATAACACTGAACAATATTGTTAAAAGGATATGGCAGTATTTTTTGCTTTTTAAAACAAATAATGATAAGACGTATGTAGAAATTTCAATTAATTTAAGAAATTCTTGAATCAAAACTACTTAATTTAACTACTTAACAGTTTAGTTTACTACCACTTCTTATTCTTACTTAAAACCCATTTCGTCTCTCCAACAGGCTATCGTACTACATAAATTTTTCAACATTTAAGTCGACTTCTGTAGTTCGCTATAAAACGTGTTTCCACTTTTAAGTGCTGTTTCCTAACACATTTATACATTCTTCAAATATAGTGCATATGCAGCAGAGAAATATTTTTTCCTGAGACCAAGCTTAAATTATTCATTTAATCGATTTTGTAGCGCTCATTGTTAAAGTATTTTCAAACAACCTGAGCGATTTGTCCTAAATCTTGTTCAAAAAGTAAGGTTTTGATGAATTTCCTTACACGTAAAACTTTTAAGAAATAACGAAATAACGTCGCCCGAATAAGTAAAGGCAATTCCACCAGTGTGAAAGATTAAGTCTTTTGTTTTCTGAGATATGCTGTGCATGGTAATGGAATACGTGGCTATATTATATAACAATTTTGGACCGTTAAATTAGAAAAATTTAGAATGAAAGATCTTACGTTCAAAGAATAATAATTTATTTCGCCACTACAATGTACCAACTAATTTGCTAGTATTTGCAACAGTTATCGATTTACGAATTACAATTTAAGGTCTTAACACATCCACTTTACTCATAAAATTATGTTCCACCTCATTTGTATTCGTTCCCATATTCAAAATAATATGCTGCGACATCATAGTTTAATTTGAACGTAATCTCTACAATTAAAGCACGATTAATAGATTAGAGTGATCTCATCTTATCCTTTCATACGGCAGAGAAAGACTGTAGCACGAATATAGAAAATATATTGAACTTGAATGAGATTATGAGCAAAAATAAATTTAAATAACAGCAGAAACTCAAAACATTCTTCCAGAGTAAACATAAGATAATATTTATAAAAAACAATAAAAAATAATATTAATAGTAATAAACTAAAAATATAGCGCACTACATACGTCAGCAATAACCAGCATAACTAAAGAGCAGACAACTGTTAGCAATTAAGGAGGCAACACAAGCAACTATTAGAGTTTCTCAGTAGTAACTAATCTTACTTTAGAACTATTTATACCAAAAAATTTGGTAAAATTTGTGTTGTTTCTTCAAATAAGCTTGGGTCCTTTAATATCTAAACAGTTTTTACTTGATGTCTATAAGCATAGGTGCAGTCTAAGAGCTGGTAATCCCATAAAAATCAGATCCCGAAATTCAGATACTATGACAACAATTTTTAAAAGGCTGTCATTACCGTTGAATCTGTTGTACCCATGAGGTAAAATAAATTTTATTATATTCATGTCATATGCGATTTTTGTAGCTTCTGAATTAGTTGGATTTAGTAAACTGACCCTTAAAACACAAATATATAGATTTTTATATATTTTTTGAAATAATATATGAATTTCAATATGTGATTCAAGGGAATACAAAACCACAAACTTGTCCATGAATTTATTAGGAGAGTGGCCAACTCTATTATGAGTTTATTAAATGAAAATCACTGGTCTATTTTCTTTTTTCCATTAATCGACAACTCTAATGCATTGATAAGGCTAGGTTTGGGTATGGTACTCATTCTTCTATACATTTTTAATAAAAGAAATAGTTAATAGTAGTATTAGAAATATGATGTTAAGAAATGTAAAATAAATAAAATATACTATCTTTAATAATATGAAATATACTAGTATAGGCTATAGTTATAGCTTTTATACGGGTTCAAATATTAACTGTCCGTGAACTTGTTTCCATAGTTAGTCTATTGGATCTTGTTCTTTCGAAACTTAACGTAGGAATTCTTTCACTTTAGCTGTATATACAAAATCCCTAATCTTTTTCAAGTCCATTACGTAGATCAATGCTGTTATAGGTTCTTGTTCTTAAAAGTACCATGTGTATGAAGTGTTTTTATTAGACAGATCGTTTGTAGATACCTATAGAATACTATTTATATCATTTCGTGATTATGTCCTCATTCTGTTCTTCGATTTGAGTTATTAGATACATAAGACTAAAACGTACTTTATAGTTAAGACAGCCAAACATACTATTTGGCTGTCTTATTAACTGATGTGCCATAATTACTGAAGTACCGACTGGAATTGAAGAAGAGAAAAATCACATTCGATATGGAAGTGCTTGCTGGATTCACGCTGGCATTTAATTGTTGTTACTTTGCTTATTTAGTAGCCACGAGAAGTGTTTTTAACGTGTCCATTTACTTGTCCAAGTGTCTCTAAATGCTCTTACTGTGCTGGGCAACTATGTAGCCTTCGGAAACTTGTATGATTCATAGGCTTTTTTGTAAATTATGCGAAATATAACACAATCAATAAGACACATAAAATGTTTACAATATCCTTACAGAGAAAACTAAACGAAATTCAATTTTCAAGGTCCCAGCGAACAACTTCTGTTTCGAAATAAAATTTATGTGAATTTTATTTAAATGCACTACCATGTAACGCTCGAAACTGAAATTGTTTACTTAGTAAATAAAATATTTTTGTGATCAAGAAAAAATTTCATTCACAATATCTGAAAAACATATCTGATACACTACTTTTGCTTCGACGATGAAACAAAACTTAAAAACGAAAAATGTGAAATTGGTATGCATTAAGAAGGTACAATCTACAGTTCCAAACTGAAATTTTTTAACTCTAATTCTTCATTGACAAGGAAATGTCAATGAAATAATTGCAATAGAATGCCTAATCAACAATCTCAACAGTTTTGAATCAATATATCTAAGTTGATCCTTAGCAGCAAACGCCAACAAGATAATACACGTGTGGATATCTCTGATCATGAGGGATTCGACGATAATAAAATAATTCATAAAAAGACCACCCGACATTTTTTCACAACACCCAACACTACCTAAAAACATTGATAACTAACTGTTTGACTTCAAACGCCTAATGCAAGTTTATTTACATAAGCTTTAAATATGTTAATAAGATTCACAGGCTAAACAGATCTGAACTTCGATTATTCATAGGTCTTTTGGCTGTGCGCATGAGTATTTCAACATAAGCATTTCCATAAAACAGAAATCCATGTCAACGTGTCCACAAAGACCGCCGATTTCAAGTGCCTTTATAGAAAATAGTCTAGCTGCGTCATATCACATAAGCTTGAAAATCAAAGTAGTTCTGGAGAATAAATCGATAGATGTGTTATTATTTTATTACGCGACATCATTCTATTGTCATGTTCACGTATTTTCGTGAACAAAATATCGTTCAATGTAGCTTGATATCGGATGGCATTGACGGTAACAGATACACTTTTTTCCCAAAAAAAAGAAAAAGTGTGGGCTGATGATCTTACAAAATAATGCGTTTTTATGTGTCTATCGCTGATCCATCACATTTGGGTTTTTATTGAACCAAATGAAAAGGTTTCACTTATTGTCAAAATCACTGATGCAGAAATGAGCCTTAACAGCAAATAAAGTTTTAAAGTACAAAAATGGGACGACTTTATACCAATATAGCGTTCATTTATTGAAGTTAGGAAGGAAAATATTGAATGATCCGGTGAAAATTAATTAAATCTTATGAGGATGTGCTCGAAGATCCTAATCCAAAGTCTTCCATAGTGTCGATAAGCAAATACCAAGGTCTTGTAAACAATGTCGAATCGGGTTCTAAGAATCTTTATCGACAATAAACTACAGAAAAGCAATGGTGTTATCGGTATGCACTCTTACTGATGTGTCCAAATGGTTTCTAAAATAGTAAAAGTGCTCTTCAAATGATCGCCTCTGCTCGTCGGTTATATTGACCGTAAAATTTACGAAGCGGAACTTCCAAATGTTGCACAGCTTAAGTCTTTGAAAAAGTAAATTGAAAATGAAATCACAATATTTAGTTGTGATTAAATAAAAACAAAATTTTTATTTTGTTTTTCACAAAATTACAAAAAAATATTATTAAAATTCTCTTCTCGACTTTAGACACATCGGAACAGTGTCTGGCATTCGTACACATGACATGAATACAAAATGACAGCTGTTTCCACCTTTTAAATAATTTCTGAAATTTTATTAAAATATACATTTAACCACAAAAACCGCATTTTAAAATTTTATTAAAAATATTAAAAGTCAACAACAAAGAAATTAAAAGAATTTATAATGAATAAAAAGAATAACACACTCACATTTTCTCAATTTATTTTTATTTAATTTAAGACATATTTATATATAAGTTAGTAAAAAGTAAGAATTAAAATAAGCGTTTTTGAAATTGGAATATTTTTTTAAAAATTTTCTTATTAACTTCTCCACCCGCCCTTAACAGGTCACTGACACAAACGATAATCCACCAGTCTTCGATGAACCTGTTTACTCGTTTGACATACCAGAGAACGCCCCACGCGGCTATCAAGTCGGTGTCATTTCGGCCACAGATCTAGATTTGGGCAATAATGCTCTGGTTTCGTATACTGTCATATCGGATTGGGCAAACGATGTGTTCAGCTTGAATCCACAGACAGGCGTTTTTACCTTAACAGCACGTCTCGATTACGAAGAGGTAAGTTTTGAAAAAGTTTGGTAGAGCCAAAAAAAACTTAATGAAATTAAATTAAAAATTTTAAATTAAAAATGCATTTTTAATTATAATTAAATTCATTTGTTTTTATTCTTCTTCTATGCTTTAACTCACAGGTGCAGCATTATATCCTTGTGGTACAGGCACAAGATAATGGTCATCCCAGTCTTTCCACAACGCTAACGATTTACTGTAATGTTTTGGATTTAAATGACAATGCACCTGTGTTCGATCCAATGAGTTATTCGAATGAAATATACGAAAACGTATCCATTGGTGCCACAGTAGTTACCGTAACAGCCACAGACATTGATTCAGGTGAGTGAAAGAGTGAAAGAATTTCAGTAACGGCTTCTTCAACTTTTAATTATAATAAATTTTAATTATTATATGAAGCAACTTTTTTAAATGCCTATTCTAAGAGAACAACAAGATATAGTTCATAATTTTCCGTATATAAGATATATACATTAATATTGTATGAATCTTGTTGGATCTGTTCTAATAGGTGTCAAGTAAATTATTTTCTTCTTATTTTGCTTTTGTCTGTCAATATAATGTCTGTATTGGCGGAAGCCAAATTATTACAACTTCTTTTTTCATTCCTTTTGTCAAGGAACCACAGATTCCATACAATATTTGTAAATTTATAGAAAAAATTATTCTATACTTAACTTGTATATACCACTGAATTGAATTTAGGAAAATAGACACTCTTCTTAAAATAAAAAGTATAAATAATAATATAACGCAGCAATAAAAATTTTATTCTTTAATTGTATTTTTTGAGCGACTATACCGCTGTTTCGGGTATTACCAAATACTCACCATTAGTGGTTTCTGAAAACACTTTTTGGACTTATTTTTTTGAAATTATAGTTGAGATTTGACATCTTTATATAAGTTGCCTGTGCTTGCACATGGATCTAAACGGAAGGATCTTTTCTCAATTTTTGTCTGCCCCTGTCGTTATTTCGCGCTTTCTTGTTCTCTCTTAATCTCACTCCTTTTCTCTCTTGCTCCTGTTTACTCCTTTTTTTCCACTCTATCTAGTTTACTATCTTGTTCTTTCTCATTTCCTCTCTATTTCTGTCTTTTTATTAGCAATTTCTTTTATTTTCTATTGTCATCATATCTGATACATACACAACTCCAAAAGCTCATTGTGGGTTTTGTTTTAAAAATCACTTCTGACCTGTTTACTTATAATATAAACATCTGCGGCAGTTTCAATATAGTTTTTGAATTTCAGAATTTTTCAAGTCAAAGAAATCCAATTAGTACGTCACCACTAACCAACTTGTCTTGTGCATATTAATTTTTTTTATTGCTTGAAAATATTTAAAAGTGATTACCTTTTGGCTGCGGAAATTTTTTCCCAAGCCTTTTTACCCAAATACGAATAAACGTTTCTCTATTTAATATGAATATGAGCCATTTTGAAGTCAATCTGCTTCCGTTCCATGAAAACGCTGTACTGCCCTAATATGCGTGTTTCACCCATTGACCCACATAAGAAATAAACAATAAAGTAATCATGTGTTTTTCATAAATAATGAGCGCCTTACTCCGACGGATGTATATTGTTGTGTTCATAATAGATATGTACACCTTCAGATATAAATGCAACTTTGATGTTGAAATAGAAAAAACAGGAACAAAAAACAAAATGAAATACAAACCAAAACTACCAAAAAAAAAAGAGGAAAAAAAAGAAACAATCACGATCTAATGCTGGCACCTTTTTAACTTAAAAGTAACAGCAGCAAATTCAAATCCATTAAAGCCAGAATTTTATTGTAATCTCACAAAAGGGGCACAAACACAGCATCCCAGAATAGCAGAATAGTAGATAACCACTAGCAACTAGCAACCAGTAACCAGCAACCAATAGCCAACAACACTAGCAACTAGCAACTAACAATACAATAAGTAGTACTCATATTGTTTTTTTTTTTTTGTGTAAATCAACAACAATTTATCATAATCATAAAGCAATGCAATCTTAGTTCGAATGAATGAAGATTGAATGAAGTCTTCGGCGTGGCTTTATTTAATTTCCCTGAGCGGCGGCTTAGTAGGTGCCAGCAACAACTTAGACGTCTTAGCACGTATATATCTGCAGCTTAAGTTCAATCTTTCAACAGCAAAGCAACACCAATAACAACAATGGCCATAACGGTAATATGAGCAAAAAACACAACAACAACAAGACAAGGAAGAAGGAGAAGAAGACGCAGATGAAGACGAAGACGAAGACGAGGAGTAAGAATAGAAATGCGGTACAGCATCAGTTCTCTATAGAGCTTAGAACAATTTAGAAGTTGAAAAAGAAGCGTCATAATTTTCACCAAATTACATTGGGGCTTGCTTACCACAGAATTCAATTAGAAAACGAACAGAAACTATTAGAAAGAAAAAACATTACAGAATAAAGTTTAAATAAAATTTGCAAACTGCAGTAAATCTAACAAGAATGCCTTTGTTTTAGATTTTAGCAGCCAAAAAAAAAAAAAAACAAAAACAAAAAAAAATATTAGCCATAAAACCTAGTAAAAATAATTAGCCACTACTGTCTTTAGCCATTTCTGTAAGAAAGTTAAAGAAAAATCATTTTCTTATTCTTATTTTTGCTTTATTCTGAAATTCTACTTCAATGCTAGACACATCTTGTCTAGCCTACACTTAGTATTCAACAAGATAGGACACAATTACACATAACATATAATAATAATCGTTTATTACTTTTTATTATACTTTCGCAAAAAAAAAATATCTTTTTATTTATTTATAATTTTTTTTGCACTTGCCAACTATAGGTGATAACGGTCGTATAGAGTATGCGATTACAGCAGGTGATGATAATAACGATTTCGAAATTGCTGCCAACGGTACAATACGTACTCGCCGCTTACTCGATCGAGAAACAAAAAGTTCATATAATTTAATCGTAACCGCAACAGATTGTGCCAAAGAATTTCCAATGTTCTATAATTCCGAGCAGAAGAAACAGCAACAACAACAACAACAGCAACAACAGATATCACAACAACATCATTTGCAACGCCGTCATCGACAACATCGCCAGCAACAGTATGTGGATCAGCAGCAACAGCAGCGTCTATCATCAACAGTACAGGTAAGGCAAATCAATATTATTTCTTGTTTATTCTGTTGTTTTTTTTTTGTTTTTTTTTGTTTTTTTTGTTTTCAAATTTACTACCAATCTGTAGCTGCGGGTAATGCTCTTTTTAATTGATACGTTTGTATGCAACACATGCATTTTCATTAGTACTCATAATAATGAGCTGTTAAGCACATGCTCTAAGTAAATCGGTTCAGACATTGGGAAATGCGCCCGTCTGTAGACAAATTATACACATCAAACGCGAAACACAGTTCACAGAGTGCAATTATTAATTAAAACGATTAACATTGCAACCCAATGGAGAGTTCGAGTTTGAGTTCGAATTCGAAAAAAAATAAATCTAAACAATCAATTTAATTGAAAACCATGTATTTGAATCGAGAGCTTTTAATAATAATCAAAAATTTACGAAAAAATTTTTTCTTCAAATAATTCATAATAGTTAAGTTAATTTATGTAGCTGTTGTTTATGCATTAGTTCCAAAAAGAGCAGAGCATGCGCAATTGTTGCTTACAATTATACAATAGAAATTGACAAAACTCAATATTTTGATAAATATTGATAAAATTTGATGAGGTTCAATCGTAGACATTGGTAGTCCAAAAGTTATAAATATACAACTAGCTAATGAATATTCTCAAAGAATATTGATTATACATATATGACAATATCCGAACCAGCTATGTAGTCAGCCCAAAAATGAACCAGACTATAACATAGATATACACATAAAGTTTTAGTTTTAAAAATATTTCACTGTGTGTATTACGCCCTATTATAAGATAGATTTCTCAACATTAAACACAATTTTTAGTTAATGATTTAGACACAAAATAATTGTTAACAGAAAAAAATAAAATACAAATCTTCCAATTTAGTGATTGTAAGAATATACCTCTCTAGTTGTCTGGCACAGTTCTATTAATATTCCAGTCAGGTTGGTTTTCGACGTTGGTCGTATATTGACTTTTCAATCTATATACGTACCAATGCTATTTCTGTGGTATCACAATGGACCATTATTTGAGCTATTACAAGATCGCCACTCCAACCTACCTACAGAGTATTTTACAGAATTAACCTATAGTATAACTTTGCAAAAATATATATTCGATGGTACACCAGAATTCTGATAAGTAGACAACTTAGAAAGATCAAAATCACAGCACAGACTTTCGGCACCTTTTCCTTGCTACTTCGTAAACCGCATCAAATTCGCAGTCTTTAACGATCCAGACAAGTCTTATTTTATTCCAGTACCAAATTCCAGGTATTTTATTCCAGTCATACCTAATTCCTAGTGGTGACATTTTTCTAATGTCTACTGATGTTAATCTAAAAAACTACATGAAAGCAAAGCTTTTGCTGGTTTCAAAATTTAACCTATTCATCTATCTATAATATTAAGCACATCAGCTAATAAGGCCGTAGAATAATCCATAAAATAAACATTCTTCCTTATTCATCAACGTAGTGTCCCCAAGTAATACAATCATTCCAGTGCTTCTCTAACATCTTGCAAAATGATTCATCTTTGGCCTTAAAATATGTCTCAGTTTTAAAGATACCTTTTTCATCGAAGCCAAATTTCTTTCCCTATAGCGTTTTTTTAAAGTCTGCGGAAAGGTGATTATCGCTAGGGGTCAAATCTGGCAAACAAATTGTGACACGACGGATTTGATCTTCGTTAAAAAACATTTTTTTTCGCAATTTTCATTTTCAAATACATCAGTTGGACCATGCAGCAATCGCTATTGATAGTCTGGCCTATTTTAAGTTAGTCTATGAACAAAATTCTTTGCTTATCCCAAAATAAGCACATCGTAACCTTGACATCTGTCTGTTGCGTTTTTGGCTGCTTTGGGCTGGATTCACTGCTTGCTGTCCAATCAGTTGACTGCTGATTCGCGTCTAGAGTGAAATGGTGGATCCAAGTTTAGTCTATTATTATACCCTTGTTCAAATTTTTTAGTATATGACTATTGTGGTCATAGGTAAATACAACTGAGTGCAAATAGAAAGCTATTATTCCATATTATACTATGATTGACTACGTTGTCTAAACTATATTAATACCAAGCAACGGAAGAGATTGCTGATGGTGTGGCTTTCTAATTAATAATGTAAATATTGAAAAATGATTCTGATTTTCTATCTGACGTTATATATGCTGTCACGTCCTTTTTTGTGAAATATATTTTGGATTTATCTTTTTGTATTGGTCCAATTATTACATTGTTGCTGCTGTGGTTTTAACTGCTGCTCTTAATCAATGATTATCTTATTCCAAATTACAATGTTGCAATGTAAATCATGCGGCGAATGAAAAACACAATTAAGCAGAACAAAACGATAAATTGGGAAAGAAAAATATCGCACTTAACTAAAGAACAATGAAACACAAATTTATAACTCAAATAAAATTATTAATGATGCACTCTACATAATATTAAGCAAAGGAATTCCATACATGAGAACCCGTAAGGAATGCATATGTTACTTAAGAAAGCCGCACCGCAACACCAGCCACACCACTGCACCGCTGCATCACTGCATCACAGCATCACAACATCACTGTATCACTGTATCACTGCACCCATCCATCCGGTACTCTAGTCCTACATTTGCAATTTTACAGTTTATCTCAACTGCCACACATAATAAATGAGCTTTGATAAAATAAAATCAAAAAATGTGAATTGCATGAACACATCGAATTGCTTATGTCCGTACGCTGGATATGTGGGTATGCCGAAAGCTTATCAGGGACAGGAACTTAATTTTTAAGTGCATGTATTTTTTCCCCCGAGCTCGGATGCTGCTTATTGCAGTTTTGGATTTCGTCGATTTGGTCGATTTGGTCGAATTGGTCGAATTGGTGGAATCGGTAGAATTCTGATTACTGTTTCCTTTTGCAGTTTTGACTGGTCCTTCATTGAACTTTCTCTCATTTGGGATTTATATGAGATGTATCACTCGCTTCTCGTTTTCTGCTTGAGGTTTCAAAGTTATCAGTTAATTAAAGTCATTCCTCTTCTTTCTGTGCTGGGCACATTTGCGAAGTTTATCTTCTTTATTGTGTTACGATTTATTTTAATTTCGCATTTTATTACTTACTTAAGCAACTCGCTATTGAATTTATAAATTTTTATATTCTGTTGTTGTTGCTAAACTTTTATACTCGTATGAGCCGAAGTGCAGAGACTGAATCACCCATTCACCAACATGAATCGATAATGAGATTGAAGAGCATACAGCTGTTTTACTGTCATTTAATGTAAAAGTACAGTTTGAAAATTGCAATAAAACTTAAGAAATTGCAATAAAATTTAAAAAATTGCAATAAAAATAAGTAAAGTAGCTAACTTAGACCAAAAGAAGCTTTAATACTCTTCACGCAGATAGTAATACTTCAAATCAATTTATTCACTATATGCGTACTTAATATTTTTATTTGATATTTTTAGAAATTGTTATTTGCTATAACATATACTAGTCATATATATTTATAAATGCACATTATGTGTATAAAGTACCTAAAAATATTAAATAATAAACAAAATTTATTACCAGTCAATCAAAATTTATTTTTCCGCTTTCAAAATCGCTGACCCAATTATCCATACATATTTCGTAGGCCGATTGAGGTAAGACCTTAAACGCCTTCAGCAATTCTCTTATATAGCCGCAATCGGTTCGAAATGTCTTCCTCAAGGTAAAAATTTTAGTTTCACATGAGGCTTTACCAGGTATATATGCTGCTTAGTCGATTGAATTCATTTTTTTTTTGCCAAAAATGTTTGCACAATGCAGGCTTTTCGCAATCACATCGTAACATTGCTCTCATGTGTTACCATCAATTCCGGTATAGAATGGGCATAGAACGTAAACATGAGTGCAACAATGGTATACTAAGCATGCAACGGGGGCAATGGTAAAATTTTTAGAAATTCTTACTTTAGAAATTACAAGAACAACTTTTTCCTATGATGACCTAAATAAACAAAAAAAGATAATTCCCTACGCCGCATACTCAAAAATCTATAACTCTCTATATATGCTTAGATCGCTTACTTAGATCGTTGGCGAACGCAAGCCAACCATCTCTGGTGCAGGTACCTTACTAGCAGGCCAACCAATACACAAAAAAACTTTTCTAAGCAATTATAAAACCTTATTAATTTTCTTTTGTTTGCTTGGTTGGTTGTAGTGGTAGTGGCAGACCATCAGATAAGTTTCCATGCACCTCAATCAGAGATTTTTCGCCGTTTTGCTACCACTGAAGAGAATTACATGTGAAACATCGTTATCATTTTTAGACCAAATTTTTACAACTCCATGTTAAGAGATTGTTAAACGACCCTCATTGTTGAATAGCAAACCTTAAAATTAATATATGATAAGCTCAACCCAATATATACTGTATTGGTTAATGCTCCTAACATATGTATTATAAGTAAAACCATACTAGTGTAAGGAATAGCATACTCATAATATATCAGTTAAAATCAGACTTAAATGGAGTATATATTTTATTGTGAAATCTTGTGTACAAACTTTATTAATGTCATGACTGATATATAAAATATTTTCGTATAGGTTTAGTATGTCTTAAATGCATAGACACGTAATTCAATGAGTGAAACTATCTTATATTTTGTCTGCATGCAGATAGAATTAAGTATCCTGATAGTGGAAAGAGTAAGCAGCAACAAGAATCACTGAGAAAAAGTGTCTATAAACATTAAAAATTAAATTCAATATCATTTAAGCATTTAATCTATTTTATATAGAAAAATATTTGCTTCTCTTGTACACTCCAAAGATTATTTATAGTTCTGTGGTGATCGAGCATGGGCATGAGCATGCACATGACCATGGATATGAGTCGCTGTTCGCATACGTGCAAGGGCGCGGGGTAAACAAGTAGGCGGGCGGCCGGATTTAGTGCTTCTGTCGGACTTAAAGATGCCACAATCGCACTTATATTACCATTTGAATATGTTTATCTGTGGCAGTTACAGATACACCAGCCTCGGCATGCGGATAATAAAATTGGTAAAACTGTGCTAAATTAATATGTGCGCAAGTATCCTGCTGCAAGCCTAACTTAAAATAGTAACAACTTCATTAATAATCGAAAATCTTTTAGTGGAAATCTTCCAGCATTTCTGCAGTTGTTGATCTTCCTCCGCTGCTTTACTTTACTTGTATTTTGAAATTTTTTCAATTTTTTTCAACTTTTTTATTCATCCTCGATTTTTATGGGACTTATGCGCTGACCGTGTATGCAATATTTTTTCACATTATGCGTTGCTTTATTTCAACATTTTTATTAACTATTATATTTGGCTGGTCGTATGGTCGGATTGTCGGATGGTCGGATGGTCGACTGGCCAGTTAGTTGGTTGATCTGTTAGTCAGTTGGTCGTTTGGTTGTTAAGTTGTTTGGTCGGCTGTTATGGCCAATCTACTAACAGCAGATCTATCGGCATTTGTATCTGAGGCAGTTATTCTTCGCTTATACTTTTGGCAAACGAAATATTTAATGCAACTAATAAATTTTCACTAATGTCCACCGCGCATAGATTCGCAAAAAGTTTCGAATTGCGTTTATCTGTCCGTACGTGATTACGTACGCTTTGCATCTTCACAGAAATTGCAGAGGCTGTTGCCGTTGCCGTTGCAGTTGCAGTTGCATATGGCACACGCATACCGCATTCTGCTGATGTTGCCGCATGCAGTTTGTATTTCTTAGATACATGCATTTTTTTTTAATAAATTGTACGCAATTAAAACTTGCATTTAACTTTAAATGAGTGCTACGTTCTATATTCTGTTCGTTACTGCAACTCATTGGCTAATTTTTTTATTTCGAATGCTGCACTCATTGAAGTTGTTTTTGTTGCAATTGCATCGCAAGTTGCAGTTCTCAAGTATTCGAAATTTCAGCTCATTAAAATGCAGCACATTTTCAGTTTATGGCTTACAATTTTATAAAACTTTTTCGAATTTATTTATTCCCTCACTAAATTTCCTTCTCTAATTTCATTAGGCAATTTCGTTTTTATTTTGCGACATTAAACTTTTTATAATGATTTTTTTTCAGCTTAACTGGTAATAAAAGAGTTGCTTTTTCCATATTTGCAACAAAATATCGGTAGTGAACATTTTTTTTGCAACTTTGTGTCATTTCTTGTAATTTCATTAAAGATTCCTACTAATTGCGAAAATATAAATTTTTGTGTGATATAATAATGTTTTAGTAACATTAATGTTTTAGGCACATAGTAAACGCTTAATAACATTGTAAAGTCTTAATAACATAGAGTAAAGTCTTAATAAAATAGTAATGTCTTAGCAACACAGTACTATGACATTACTAGTACTATATAGTAATAGTAAACGTCGTATTTTTCCATTTCCTATACAACTATATTACTTAGAAAGCAACAACTTTAATTTATATAAATAGATATTATGTACTTAAAAAGATGAAAGGGTAAAGATCCAAGACGCCACTAATTAACCACAAATTTCAATTAACTCGGCTATTTAAGCAACTTCTTTCACTACTTCATCCACTATATGTTGCTATATGTTAAGTTTGTGATATAGCTTTAAATATAACCTAAACTATATATATATAGTTTACCATATATAGTATACCATATATATGGTATATGGTTGCTTTTACGGGGAACAGTGAGAGATTCCTTAATTAGAATCCGGTAGTACCACAAAGGGCCAATACTCCTAACAGTGTGGTAAATGGCGACAACCAACTTACCTACCTACTGTCTTTACTGGTTTTGAATTGGATGTTTATAGAAGTTATTGAATAAATCCACACGTATGTATATGTATAAATATACCATATATAGATAGATATATGTAATACACATTAGGTTATGTTCATACTGCTCAAGATGTCATAATCAACGAAATTCATTCATACTTTTGTGAGCCTTGGTGATAATTTAGAAATAACGAGGTAAATGGATATGACTTGAACTATTGGGGTTGTCGATTTAATATCTGATTGTAAAGATTGTATATACTCATAGCGAATATTTAGAGAAAATTCGCACAAGATTATAGATACAAATATTTAAATAATATATTACATATTTATAAAAATTTGAAAATATTGCAAATATTAAGTTATATGTCAAAAATAGTCAGCAAATTTATTTCTAACTTAAAAAACTGTTAACATATATTTAAAATATTTCAATATTTGTAGTTCTGCAAAAATTTCCTGCTTTAATCTCTCATCACTTTCGTCCAAAAAATATTAATTGGGCAAATTTGCATTGCATATAAATTCTCTAAGCCGAAAACTTCTCTTTTCAAGCCTGCCACGACTCACTAGTATAAGAGCAATAAAGTCTTAAATTAAAACCAATTATTTGCCATAAAAAAACTATCGCTAAGCAAAATTTCAGTTCAATAACTTTTACAGTTTTGCGGCTAGCGTGCGTACAAAACTATCTTAACGGTTCATTTCTCTTATTTACATGCACGTATCTATTAGCCATTAACCAATTTATAGTATGCTATCTTCTAATAAGTGTTAAGGATGTTTACCACGAATATGTACATTAAGGTAGTGCTTTAATGACAGACAGTCGGACAGATAAAAATACTCGCCAGTACTTACCTAGAGCGTACTTGAGGTGGAGCGGAGTGCGTAGATACTTTGTCCAATGCAAATTAAGCATGCGTATATGTTTCAGATTTATGCGCTCAAGTAGTATAAATATTTTATGCAACCATTAAATGCGGCAAACTTAAGTAATTTAAATTAATTGAAATTTATTTAGAAAAGGATACAGTAAAAAAAGTAGAAGTGTATAATTTATTTAAATGATATTTCATTTAATATTCCTCCATATCGCTAATATAAGTGTCTTGTGAAAAATTAATTTCTTTATCGAAATTTCTCTTCAATTTGTATTCCTAAGCTGTTAATTTTAATTACATCTTTATATTAATAATTTTATTAATTTCTTTTACAAGTCATCCATAATTTTGAATGGTGCTAGTTACCATTCAAATTTATGAATGACTTATTTTTATTTGTAACTTTGAAGAAAACCTCGATGCAGCTTCAAAAGAAACGCGCTCTAACTGCTTTATTGCAATAAAAACTTCGGCTTGAGCAATAAGGCTCAGTGAACTTCATGTTCACTTAAATCTGTCAACCCTTTCTTAAGCCGGGTAGATGGTAGCCGGGTAGAGCTGGCTGGTCGAAACCATGCATAAGCCTATTGGATTTATAACACAATGAAACTAATCCCCGTAAGGATACACATAACTTTTGATGATTATGAAAGTACTAAGTTCAGCTCCCGGTGGTTTTGAGAAATATTGGCTGATATGCACGAGTTGTTACCGAGCTGCTTTTTAATGATAGAAACAAAAAACTTTATTAGGTTCCTGACAAATATTTTATTGAGATTTGTTATTCATATTAAAAGCAACGAAAATTTAAGTAAAATTTTGGGGAGGAGTCAGTATATTTTCAAATTTTACTACTATTAAGTATGGTATAGATATGCAAAAGAATTTGTGCTAGCAATAGGAAAAATCAATCAATCGCAATCAACCATCAAAAAATGATTTTCCCCCATTTCGTTCTACAACTCAGTAGTCTGCTGTCATTAAGGTTTAAAAGGACCCGCTTGTGAGCAATTTCAAAATCGCTAAGGACCTATAATACTACCTTTAGTACAACTATAAACTATCTGCATGAAACAAAGAATAATATAATAATACCTATAACAAAAGTTTGATGACTGTTAGCATTCCATCAGAACAATGAAAATTGGATTCCATATGATTATATTACATGAAAACCGTCTTGGTTAAAAACTCCACAATTAAAGGCAAAGGTTTGATTAGCAATACAAAGCTTATATTGAGTGTTTGATGGGATTGTAATTATGTCCATTACTATAAAGTATAGATTGTCTGTTTAATTAATGAGAGCATTCCGCAGCTTTCATTCCCTCTTGACTCATTAGCTCTCGTGCTTAAATTTCTTCCTTTTCACCTATGTTACTGATATTTAAATCATACCTACATCTTCTTAAAGCATATTTGCTTACCTTTTTTTTTAAATCATTTCACAAAATAAAATATTTGTTATATAAAATGTTTATAATCGTAGTACACTTATAGATAATCAACCGAATGACACCTACGTAGCTTTCACACACCAAATTTTTATTTGCCTTCAAATATTTTTCTCTTCTTCATGCTAATAGTATTAGCTTTCCAATTCAATACGCACAATTTACTTCAACAAGATTTTTGCAAGAAAGAAACAACAACATCAACAACAAAATATTTGCACATTTGTCTCACACTATTTTTTATCATTAAGCTTAACAATGTTTATAAACATAACTAATAGCTGCAATTTATTTAAATACAATGTTGCACAATCACATATCACACTTTGAAGCCAAAGCCAGCAACATGTTGTTGGAACTAGCGAGTCTTAAAATTACAGTTCGTTCTTGTTGTTTTTGTAATTGAGCACCTGTGGAACGTATACTTTTTTTGTGATGCTAATCTCTATAAAGTGATTTTTTACTTGTTGCAGTTGAAATGTATTTACTAAAATTATATATATTTGAAAATAAATATTACCATATTTTTTTATTATTATTATTTCGCAGAAAATAAAATGATTACAGCTTAATAATTATTTATTTGCACTTGCAGGTAACAATTGTACTCAAAGACGTGAACGATGAAGCACCGACATTTACTTCACCCAATGAAACGGCAATTATAGAGAATATAGCCACTAATACCGTTGTTATGGCGGTGAAGGCAGTCGATCGGGATGAAGGACGCAATGGTTATATTGAGTATCTATTATCTGGTGAACAGCATGTGCCGTTCTCTTTGGGTCCGGTCGATGGTTTACTGCGTGTTTCGGGTCGTTTGGATCGTGAGCTACGTTCTGTTTATGTGCTCAATGTAACTGCTCGCGATCGCGGTGAACCGCCACAATCAAAACAAACACAAATCACTGTCAAAATACTTGATGAAAACGATAATAGTCCCGTTTTCGATCCGAAGCAATATTCAGCTTCGGTGGCGGAAAATGCTAGCATAGGTGCTATGGTCTTACACGTCTCAGCTACTGATATTGATGAAGGTGCCAATGGACGTGTACGATTCTCCATAGCGGCCGGTGATAATAATCGTGATTTTAGTATTAGCGAAGATTCTGGTGTTGTGCGTGTGGCAAAAAATCTCAATTATGAGCGTAAATCGCGTTATGTGTTGACAGTACGCGCTGAAGATTGTGCTACAGATTTGTTCAGAGATGCGGCTGGTGGGCGTGGTAAGGTGCTTATAAATACTATTGAAAGTCGCTATGATACCGCTGAATTAACTATTGTCATAACGGATATTAATGATAATCCGCCAACGTTCTTGGATTCACCTTATGTGGCTTATGTTATGGAAAATGTTATACCACCAAATGATGGTTATGTGCTAACAGTGGAAGCTTATGATGCTGATACGCCGCCATTCAATTCGCAAGTGCGTTATTTTCTAAAGGAAGGCAATGCTGATCTGTTTCACATAAATGCTTCGACAGGCGAAATATCGCTATTAAGAGCATTGGATCGTGAAGCTCAAGCTGAATATACATTAACTTTAGTTGCCATGGATACGGGTAAGTTTGCATAAGTTACTAACTATTGCAACAATAACAAGAAAACAACAACAAGACCAGCTATACCTTTAAAATAAGTAAAAAGATTATCATCTTAAGTTATGCATAATATTGTTCCCGTTGTTGTTGTTACTGTTGCTGTTGTTGTTGTTACTGTTGTTGTTGTTATTATTATTGTTATTGTTAATGTTCGGAAATTCCTTTTTGAAGAACCTGCAAAATATTCTTGTAATCGTATTTCATTGTAAAAGAGCTTCTGGGCATTATTTGGTAAATTCACCTTATGCCACGATTATATCAAAAAATTGTTCTTGTGTCTTATTCTTTTTGACTTTTTTGTCTTCTATATTTCACATTTTGCTTCTTTCTCTTCGTCTTTTTTCCCATTATTGTTTTGAGCTTCGCACATTTTCATTAAGCTGGATGGGATAAGCGCGTTACTCATATGCAAAATATTACCACCATTTTCCCGTCCAGTAAACCAGAGAGCAGCGCTCGCATTTGACTTCGTACTGTACGGAAAGTAACTGTCTTGGTGTATAGCATATATCTTATTTAAGGAAAAAGGGTGTTACCAACCACAGCGCATCATACTATATTGTTTTCAGTCCAAAGTGAACCGATTTAGTGGTCAGTGCTGCTATACTGCCTACTGCCTCAGCTGTCTTCAGAGCTTGGCACGTTGAACACTACGTACGTTTGTGTTTTCTTTTCGCTTTATTTGTTAAATTTTTGTTAAATTTTTGTTGGATTTTGTTTATTTTTTATTTTTTTAATTTTTTTTAATTTTTTTTGTTTTTAATATTTTTTCTCATAATTCTGGTACACAAGAGCCACCATTGATTCGTTTCAGCTTGTTTTGTGCCCCTAAAGAAAATACATTCTGATAATTACAGTAATTTGTAAATGTTACACTCATGATTTCTGCTCACAATCATTACGATTATAAGCTTTTGTATGAATTGTTGCTCTAAAACAATTTAGATCGTATAAATGAGTTAAAGCAATGCACGGCAAAACAGCATCTGAACTTACTGATATAATACCCATGTATGAGGAACTCGAACTCTAAAGATAAATGAGCTAAAGAGCTGCTCATAACCTTCCACATTTATGTTTTTATTTTTTTTCTTTTAATTCAATCATTTATTTTATTTTTTTCAATTGTAATCTTAATGTTTTTTTACCAATATTATGAGTTGAGGGCATTCGTACTTAACTTGCACTAACTTGATTGACAGGCTCGTACAATTAAAGTACCGCATTAGATTCAACTAATTAAATTTAACTTAATTAACCAAAACTTATTGCTTTATATTAGTCTCAGTAATATGAAGCTGAATCGTTTTGATTTCATCATAGATTTTGAAATTTTATTCGTTTCATTTTAAATAAATTTTCCACACTTTAAGTAATACTCGTACAAATATATATTTCTTTGATATCCGAAAAAGTGATATGGATAGCCCAAGGATTCACTTGATTAAAATTAAATTTTTCGAAATTGAAAATTACCTCACTCTTACCCACTTTTCTATTTAAAATAGAAATAATTGCCAAAATAATAATTTTAAGATAGATATATATTTATTTTTTAAATTATGTTACGCATATTCTTAATAATAATAATAGTTTTCAATTATTTACTTTATTTACTTTATTTAATATATTTTACACAATCACTCAAACATTATTGAAGTTATATGATTAAATAAGTATTGTACCTGAATAAATATATATTTTTGCGCAATCATATATAATCCATTATTATTGCTTTATGGCTCCAAAGGTTCACAAACCTTTTCAGTAAGTGAATATTAACCGCTGTGCGTAGTCAATAAGTTATAAGCCAGAGGTTCTCAAACTTTATAAGTCATGGAGCGAGTTTAAAATTGGAAATTCAAAACAGAACATTTGTACATATCTTGCAGTTTCGTATATCTTCGCACCATTTATACCTAATTTTAAACAAAATATAGCATTAGTTCCTTACAATCACAAACTGACATTACATAAAAAGACAAGTCACTACAATATATCAAGTCAATTTACTTGATTTTGAAAAATTCATTTAGATTTCTAATCGACGTCACGTATATATGATAATCTCACAGAACTATTACAATCGAAATCGCTTATAGAACGATTTCAACGTAATACGATTTAGGGATTGTATGCAACTAAACAAAAATATTTTTGGAATCATTATAGGAACTCTGATAGGGCACTATAGGTTAAATTATCATCCTAGACAAATATGAATTAAGTTAATAAAGCTTCTGGAATTTATAAGAAAGAGAATGAGATTTCAAAACACAAGCTGGAAGTTTGTCTGGCACTGATGCACAACCAAAAAATAATCCATGTGTGCATCTCCTATCAAATGAAAGAATAAAACTCTGTAATACACAATACGACAATTTATAGGAAGAGTTGGACTTGAAGAAATATTCTAAATCCATGTAGAGGCACAATAAAAGTTAGACTTGGAGAAATATTCTAAATCCATGTAGAGACACAATAGATCTCCAGCAGTGCAAATCCTAAAAATTCATGATCATAATCTTTTTATGTTGGAAAATTTATAAATAATTTAAATATAATAAAATTAAATTTATTAAATTAAATGGATTAAAATAGAATTTAGATATATGTATATAAAAAAAAGTGAAAATATATATTTTTATTTTTAAGACCATGAAACCATTTCACCTCTTTCGAATAACTTTTAAACAATTTAAATGACATCATTATGTTGTCATTTTATGAAAATAAAAGTAGTAAAAAGTGTTTTCTTTTTTTCTGTGTTTTTAGTGAATCTTTTTTTATTCTGCTGTTTTAGCATCGCATGTTGAGCATCAACTACATGAGTAAGTAGAATGAAAGGGTTCACTTCATGATAGCTACGAGTTTAATTTAGTGAGACGATTAATATGCAGTGCGGTATTTTCAATATATGACCACTTTATTGAATAAATTATGTTGACTTTTTTTTAACTTACTCATTTCTTCTTTACAAACTATTATTATACATTATTCGTTAATTTTTGCTAATATATGATTACAATGTTGCTCGTGTTTAATAGATTCAGATTATCGACGGACATCTCGACAATGTAGTGTCGCTAATACCTAGTTTCAATTTTTCACATAAATTTGTTATTTCAAATGAACATTTTTCTTGACCAGACAAAATAGCTAATCCAAATTGTAATCGCTTTCACTTTAATGTCATACTAACTTAATATTTAATTCTTTAGTAACTATATTAGATTTTTACTTTAGTTGCTAGTTCATTATGTAATTTAAATAGTGTAAGCTTATTTTATTTATGTGACAACGAAATCGCGGTTTAAGAATGTGTACAAAATTTCCAAATGTATGCGAAACTAACAAAAAACTAGTACGATCTCATAATAAACCCCCTCCCCCCAACAACTAGCGAACTCATTCACACAGAAGACACACACTCGTTTATAGTGCAATGATTCTTTCAACCACTTCTGTAACTAGTATTGCTAAGCATCTTGAGATATAAGCATGGTATTTTCATAGCAATCATTTTAAACTGCCTACCTAGCTAAGAAATTAGACAAATATGGTAAAACATCATATATAGGCCTCTATAAAGCTACAATTCTATCAACCATATTTCTGACTAATATTAGTAAGTACCCAAAGATCTATACTATGTTTGATATCTCAATGACAACAAGTTGAACCTAACAAATAATTTAGACAATATAGGTTCATTGACAAATAGAGTAGAGCATTCTCTAATGGAACTACGACACTGTCAATCCATTCTGTCTATCTTTAACTGGTAAAGTGAAGGACCCGAAGTATTATGTTTGGCAACTACATGCCAAACAGTGCAACATACCTGCGATATGCGTTTATAACCTCTCTCCAAAAATAATTCCAGATTATTGTCGAATATACTACGCTTTCAATCAATTCCTAACATTCCTGACTTTAACTCAATATTGACAGTTGCAATGTCCGCGCTGTGCGATAAGTCATTGAGCTTGCGATTATAATTCCTTTGAACTTTGAATAAATTTATTAGTAAGTTGAGTGCATAAATGTGTGATAAGATAATTGTAGTTTTCAATTCATTTGCAATTTCTTATGCACTTCAAACTAAAAATTAATAAGCAAATTGCAAATGAAAAATGAAAATAAAAATATAAGAAATTCAACCGCGAAGTGCAGTTCATCAATTTCTGCATAAACGAAGTCGAGTTTAATTTTATAGGGAACGGTAAATTTTGACAACCATGCAAAAGTCAACGAATAGAATATCAAACAGGCGAAAAAATATACTTACTATAACTACTATATATACATATATATATATACTATATGTATATAAATATATATATGTATATATATATGCCTATATATTAGTATAAATACACGATATGTACAAGAATACATAAATAAATCACTACAATTTACACGAAATGTCAGTTTGAGGCGCTTTGAAGCCTTTTAGCAGTTTAAGCTTGACCAGCGCATAATCGTAAATTCATCAAAGTGCAACATTATTCTCAGACTCGATACTTTCAAGCCTCAACTCCAGCTTACACGCTCTCGTACATACACACATGCATGTACATATGTAATCTATATACATATTTATAACTAACTACTTTCTAACTGAAAATACATAATAAGTTGCAGTAATCGCTAGTAGAATTAAAATAAAAATAATATTAAGAATATAATAAAAAATAAAATGAAATAAAATATAAAATGAAATAAAAATGAAGGAAAATATAGGAGAGAAGAAGAGGTTATTGCTATCATAACGACCTTCTTTTACAAAATTCGATAAATGTGCTACAGAACAGAATGCAAGTATGTTAAGTTTGTCTGACTTGCTTTATTCAAGAATGAATTTTCTTTTGTTATTATTTTTTAATAAATGTTTTAAATTTTAAGCACAAAACTATTCATATATAGAAGGGCTATTCAGACCAGATACAAGTCACTGT